AAGAAAGGAACATTTTTGTGCTGTTATTGTTGGAAATCAGAAAGCATATGTTGTATATCATAAACTGGTAAATCCAGAGACACATTTTCATCATTTCTATTCATGCAATATGCTAAGTGAGTGTACCCAAGAAAAAGGAAGCTGTAGTTTCCGCTGTGACAACCTGATGATAGACGAGATCTCTAGAAGTGGACAGATGGATATTTGAGAGGGAAAAACAGAAATAATCCTGGTTTCTTTGGTAATTGTTACCCAGTTTATTACCTGCAAAAAATATGTACGTTGAACCTCCTTTTGACGTATCCTTCTTGCAATTGTAGCCATTGCATAGCAGGAGCCAGCAACTATATTCACCGGTGTCTGCTGCAGTGGCATTTTCCAGGATCAGCTGACTGTACCTTTCATGTTGCTTGATGCTAGCAAAAACAGAGACAAAGGACTATTTCAGCTACTGGTGCTAATCTTAGATTCCTTTCTTGCCTTGTTTGATTATTTTGATTTTCCTTCTGTAACTTTAATCCACGTAACTAACTCATAAATGAATTAAAAGGTGGAACAAAAATTGGTAGGAAAACCATTTGACATTTCACTTTTCTTTAGGTACCAGCAGGGACGTGCAGTCAGGGGAGGCGGGGCCTCACCAGTGTCATGAGGAAAAGAAAAGGAAAATTAAAAGGAAAAAGGCCAAGGTAGTTGCTGCCAGACTCCAGAGTCACAGTGGATGACTCTGAGTCTCCTTAGTGCTAACTGCAGGAGGCGGCGAGAGAACTACGGGCCTCCTTTGCTTAAGGAATTTTTCGCCTTCTAACCCTTGCTTAGAGTTACAAATTCCTTATGCAAAGGAGGCATGTGGTTCTCTGCCTCCTGATCTGGCAGCAGCAAATCTTGCCTAAGGTGCCTTTTTATTTTTACATTTTTTACATTTTCATCATGGCGGGCAGACAAGAGGAGAGTTGAAATCCACAGCTGGAAAGGGTATGTGGATCGGACGGAGGGAGGGAAGGAATTCAAAATTATTGTAATTTAATTTGTAATTTGTTATTGTGAGTAATGTGTGTGTGTGTGTGTGTGTGTGCATGTGTTTCTTCACTTCACTCAAACAAACTCTCAATTTGAGAGAGAGTTTGTTTGAAAAGAGAGGGGCAGCCCTCTCCTCCCCCACTGGAAGCCCTGTCCTGCTCCCCTCTCCCTTTTCTCCTCCTCCTCTCCCCTTTCTTTGCCTGCTGCCGTCTTGCCCCCCACCTCCTCCGTCCCCGCCACAGTGGTGGGGTCGGAGGAGGTGGGGGGGCGAGGCAGCGGAGCACGGCAGCAGCAGGGACGTCCCCACTGCTGTGTCCGTTTATGGCAGAATAAACATGAGACGCCTGGCCTGTCGGACACAGCGGCTTCTTGCTGCTGCCGCGCTCTTGCCTCACCAACCATAATCCTCACCACACGTCACTGGGTACCAGACTTTCAGTATAAACAGGAATGATATATTCCCACATTCCCACTGTAGTGCTACAGATAGACCAAAATAGCTATCATTGATTTTATATAGTATTGAAGAAAAATAGTCTATAACTATCTGAATGACTGAATTGGCAGAAGCTATCAGACAATTTAGCATTTGTAAATTCAAGCTAGAAAGGGTAGATGATGTTAAGCAAAGACAGTAAAAAGGATATTTTTCAAAGTGCCTGTTTACAACTGCTGGAAAACTGGAGTGAATTCTGCAAAGATGGCAAAAGGACAGATATAAAACTGTGGAACAAGCTAAGCAGTAAATAATTTAATAGAAGTTAATGGATCCATATTTACAGGACACATGACTGACAGTCGGTAGACAATAACATATTATAGAGATTCAATTGTGCCTGAGGAATTTTGATTACATATATTAGCAGAATCTTTTAAATATGGCTAGAATAATTTAGATGATACAAGATCAGCATTAATGAGTTACTGCAATGTCTGAACCTACATATATGTCAAATTGCAAACATTATTAATTTCTTGGTTTAAAAAAATCTAATTTTTCAGCATGTACATCGACTCTGGTTATTCTATTACAAACAATGTATTTAAAAAGACCACTACATTAGACATTAAATTCACTTTTTGGCATCTGATACAGTTATGTTGAGACCAGCATTCTCATAATCTTCAGAAAAGAAAATGTAAATACATGTACAAGAAAAAATTAGCCTGAGTAGGCCTCTTTTAACTGAGAGTTTACTTGCCATATTGCAATATCCTTTTAATCTATTTTGGTGAAGAGATGAAATACATTGGGCAGGTATATGAAATAAAAACATAGGTATCTGCCAGAAGTGAGAGACATTGATTGTTCAATGTATATCTACATTTTTGTTATTCTTGAGCTTTAATTACAAAGTATGTTATCATAGACAATTGAAACCAACATTCATTTGAAATGCTTTAAACATGCCTGTCCGGGTATGGATGAATTTCAGTTTCCATCAGCAACATTTTAGCAAAGTATAAATGAGAATTATACTTCAACATTTATTTTCAGAACCCTCTTGTAAAAATGACAAATGCAAGAAATTCAGTTTTGTTGCACCATTTGTTCCCTTCTTCTATTGTCCTAACAAGTTCCAATTTTTTTTATCTAGTACATGCAACTGATACCATCAGCCCTTTGGATAAATGCAAAATCAATGTCTACTAAGACAAAACATTTTCAGGAACCGATAAAGGTACAGCATTGTAACATTTTAATTATTGCTTCCTAACAGACAGGAAGCAGCAGGTGGAGCTAGGAAAAATCACATCAGATACCTGTACAATTAGCATAGGAGTCCACTAGGGCTGTTTGCTCTCTCTACTTCTCTCTATACACCAATTTCAAAAAATCCCTCTGTTAAAGTATTGAAGTCTGCAGATGATACAATAGTGATTTGTCTCATTTGAGACAACAATGAATCTGCATACAGACGGGAGGTTGAACAACTAGCCTTGTAGTGCAACCAGAACAATCTTGAACTAAATACACTCAAAACCATAGAAATGGTGGTACATTTTAGGAGAAACCCTCCTAGCTAGCACATCTTACAATACTAGACAACACAATATCAACAGTAGAATCCTTCCAGTTTCTATCATATCTTAAGACTTAAAATGGACACCTAACATCAAAAACGTCATCAAAAAAGCATAACAAAGAATGTTTTTTCTGCGCCAATTCAGAAAGTCCAAACTGCCCAAAGAGCTGCTGATTCAGTTCTACAGATGAATTATTGAGTCTGTCATCTGGACCTCTATAACTGTCTGGTTTGGCTCTGCAACCAAACAAGACAGACACAGACTTCATTGGATAATTAGAACTGCAGAAAAAAACAATTGCTACCAACCTGTTTTCCATTGTGGACCTGTATATTGCACGAGCCAGAAAGAGGGTTGTGAAAATATCTACAGACTCCTCACATCATGGACATAAATTGTTTCAACTTCTACCCTCAAAACTACGCTATAGGACTCTGTCCTTGTGTCTTGTTGTTCTGGTGTGCAGTTTTCCCCCCGAATGCCATCACTCTGCTAAAGAACTAATTCCCACAACACTGTCAAATTATCTAATGACTGTATTACTCTTCTTTTTCCCATCCTTCCTAGTACCTATCTCTTCCCACTTATGGCTATAACCATGTTGCTTGCATCTTTACAATTTATATTGTTTTATTTGTTTTCTAGTATGATTTGATTGCTTATTAGTAATCTAAGACTATCACTAAATGTTGTATCTTATGATTCTTGATGAATGTATTTTATTTTTCTTTATGTATACTGAGAGCATATGCACCAAAGACCAATTATTCCTTGTGTGTCCAATCACACTTGGCCAATAAAGAATTCTATTCTATTGCCTAGAACAATGCAATGTCAATAGGCACATTCCAGAAGAAATTAATTGAAATTGAATTCCTGTTAAAACAATAGGACTTACACACAAGACAGACAAATGTAATTCCATCTTTCAATTGCTGGTAATCTTGGCTAATATTCACTGGATTTGTGCCCTTAGTATTTAAATCCCTCCTAGAATAATGGTCACTTTGAGAATCACTAAACCATATGGTCCTTTGCTGGAATTTCTGGCAGCTCCACCTCCAAGTAGGCATCAAATAGACAAAGCTGTTTTAGGTTCATTCCCTCCAGTTGAAGGCAGATTTGATTAGTATTATAGGTGAAATCTGCCATCTAGTGATCCATTATGCTATAGCTCACTTATCAGCAAAATAAACTATAGATCTCTTTGGAGATCCATTCAGAAATATTAATGATTTCTTTGCTTATGGAGATTCTCAGTCCTCCAGGTCATGGTTGTCCCAAAGGTGCTTTTTCAAGAGGCAATTGAACTTTCTTGTTTTTCTCTGAAGATGTTTTGCTTGTCATCCAAGAAGCTTCTTCAGGTCACCAGCTGAAGAAACCTCTTGGATGAGAAGCGAAACGTCTTTAAAGAAAAACAAGAAAGTCCAGTTGTCTCTTGAAAAGCACCTTTGGGACAATGATTTCTTTGGTTTTGATATGTTGAATGTCTACATAATATTAGTACAACACTTTGGAAAAGGGCTACATGTTCTGGCTCATGTTTATGTTTTTATGAAATAACAATAACTACCTTGACTAAAGCACATATATTTAGGACAAAGGTTTGCAAGAAAGTAATTTAATTTACTTTAGATCTGCTTTCTGGCTAATTTAGCTTCAAAGAAAAGGAGAAGATGAGGAATACTATAAGGATGTTCTACTGAAAAAAATCTGTCCATGGTTTTGTTGGAGTCATCCTCAGTGACCAGGGCTGTATTTTTAATTCTGCTAATTTTGCTTATTATTGTTTTAATGTATTGTCTGCCTTCCAGAGCTGTATTTGTAAAATGAGCAGCCATATATATTAAATAAACAAATATACAAAAGTTTTACAAAGAGATGCTGCAAAGAGTTTTACAAAGAGACCCCATTTTGTTTAATGGTTTAAGGCACGAGGCTATAAAGTGAGACCCTGTGAGTTGTAGTATGCAAAACCCATTAAAGCCAGATAGGTTACCTTGGGCTAGTCCCTCTCTCTCAGCCAGGGATGGGATCGAAAATTTTTAGCAACTGGCCCAGTTGCTGGTGGGCGTGGCCATGGTGAGCATGGCCTACTTGGCCTCCTGAACCACGACGTGGGTGGGTGTTTTCACCCTCCACAGGCTCCGAAGTGTTTCTTTAAGCCTCCGGGAGGTCGAAAATGGGCCCCAGAGGTCCTTCGGAGGCCAGAAACGGGCTTGTTTCCGGACTTCTGGGAGGCCTGTTTTTCACCCTCCCAGAGCCTCCGCACGAGGCCTGCACTTACCTGACATTCAAAAAGGGCCTTCTGAAGACTTCTGGGAGAGGCAGAGCAGGGTTGGCAGGGCCAGACAGTCTTTTCAACTATTAGTTTGGCGAACCAGATGTAAAATTAGCATCTGGTTTGCCTGAACCAGTTTGAACCGGCTGAATCCTATACCTGCTCTCAGCCCAATTCACCTGACATGGTTGTTCTTGTGTGATAAATAGGAGGAGGAAAGTGTGTTGTATATGTTTGCCACCTTCAGCTATTTGTTAAAATAATAAAGGCAGGTTATAAATTAAATAAATAAATAAATCTATTGCTGTCCCTATTTTCTAAAAATACTACTTTTAAAAATATATGATGTTTGTACAGTTGTTCTTCAAAGGTTTTCATCTGCTTTAATTAGTAACAGAAATATTGTTGACTGTCTCAGACCATATTATTGCATTAAATAATTAGGCATGGAACATGGAAAATGTATTATTCCAAGAACAAACAGAACCAAAAAACTTCACCTCCATTCTTCCTCCAGACCATGTTAACCTGGATGTTTGGAGAGTGGGTTTGCCATTTTCTAGAACATGATTGTATGAGCTGAAAGCAATCTGACGTGGTCAGTATGGTACCATCCATTTTTTCTAGAATGCTGCTTCAGAGATTATGTTCTCCATAGAAATAATGGAGATTCACAAGAGCCTCTTTAGAGAATCCATTCTTGCCTGAAATGCTTACCCGCATTTTTTCACTGTCTCTTCTATGATACTATAACTTCTGCTCTTTTAATACCTATCATTTATAGAGTTAATTTTCCTTTGAGGTAAATGCTAGAAATAGAATATTAACTTTTTATTAGCTGCTATTTCAATCATAAGGAAAATACTGGTTTTACGCGGACAGTGTACCCCCTATTTACCCCCTATTTTTACTCTCTATTTCATTTTGGGCTTTTATTTTTATTTTATCTCATTTTTATTTGTATTATATTTGTACTTTTATTGTATTTTATTTCCCTTATTGTCTTGCTGGTCACTGATTATACTTACTACTGAAGGAAAAACCACTCAATCACCTTATAACATCTGCAGGTTCCAAAGACACAACAGAATATTCTTGAGTTGCTCAGAAAATTTCATTCCTATAGGAGTCAGTTTTACACCTATTCACCAGGACCTACTGTATGTCTGAAGCAGCTTGAAAAGAACATTACTCTTTTTTGCTCTGAACTTTCACACCTGTTATACAAAGTCTAGTAAGAGGATTAAAACATGTCCTGCCTAATAGTTGCTAAAATAGATAGAGAGAAGATAGAAATAGGCCAGCCTGCCCCCAAAATAGGATAATGGTGATTAAGAGAGATAGAGGGAGGGAGAGGGAGGGAGGGAAGGAGAGATAGGGATGGAGGGAGGGAGAGTGGGGAGGAGGGAGATTATTCTTGAATCATGGTAGTTATATGGTTTCTCATCATGGCTTACTAACTTTCTTCAACAAATATTAGTTGTTACAAATTCTTGGTTCCTAGGAACTTTTAAAGGTGCATCCAGTGCAACTGTCAGTTGAAGCCTGGCACTATTCTACAAAACTGTTCAGCAACGTAAGAAATATATTCTCACACATTGAGAAATAGGGGTATAGAAATGTCCTTTTTTCTGTTGTGCTGGTCCCCAACACAAACTGGTCCACTTTCTGTTAATATTTAGAAGAGATTTTAAAATTGTATGTTTCTGCTAACATTAGGGCTGTTATCATTAATTTCAAATGTCTGGGCATATTTAATTCTTCAATTACAATTCTGTGATTTGCATTAAATAGTTCCTTACCATTGGTGGTAATAGTTCCTTGCCATTGGTGTGATGCAGGAGCAATGCCAAATCAAGAAAAATAAATTAATCCAGTAAGGTTGGTCATGAATTCTATAGTTATACAGTTAAAGCCTATATTTAATTTTCCCCAGAGTGATAGCTGACTCCTTAAAAAGTAAAACCCAATCTTAGCACTGACCTCCTTTACAAAACACTCATGAAAAGAACATTTCCAGTTGAAGTAAGAACAGCTGGCTTCATAAGAACAGCTGGTTTCATATCTTAAGATAAGAATTTTCAACAAATAAGAGTTGAAAAAGGATGTTTCTTAGCCAACTGGTCCCTGCCAGCATCCATCCAGACCGGGTGGGGCCAAAACCTGATACCATTCTTTCCATTTGGAGGGCTGGTCGGACTCTCAGGGGCAAAATGGGTGCCTTAACTTGTGTTTTTTTCCCAAAAGGCAACTGGGTTTTCTTGGATTTTTTTCATTGAAAACATTTTGCTTCTCATCCAGGAAACTTCTTCAGTTCTGACTGGTGGGGAATTTATAGTGTTTGCAGTCATCTGGTTGTTAACACTATGAGGGTTAACAACTTATCTGTGTCCTCAGAATCATCTGAATCAGAGAGTAATAGGGTATGGAACCCTCCTGTCATTTAGAACTGAAAAAAGTTCTTGGCTAAGAACCAAAACATTTTCAAAGAAAAAACCTAAGAAAATCTAGTTGCCTTTTGGAAAAACACCTTTGGGACAACCAAGACCTACATGATTGAGAATCTCCAGAGATAAGAGCACATTTGATTCCTGAAAACATCCTCCCCCCCCCCCCCATGCGATTGAGCCTTCAAACTGCTAAACAGTACCTGGTATTGCCACTGGACTGAGAAATTATGTTTTCCTGTACTAGAATATAAGGGGGTTTGGGGTGGCTCATGGCTGCTCTGTAATATTGAAGTTTGTGATGCACCTCAAGGCTTATGGTGCAGTCATGCCCACTAGGAAAGAAATAGTAAATGTCTAACTTTGTCTGAGATTTCTAGAAACAAGAGGAAGCCAAAAGAATGGTGCAATTGTTCACCATTCAGCCCAAATGTTGCTTTAGATCAGTGGTAAAATTCAATTTTTTTACTACCGGTACTGTGGGTGTGGCTGAATGGGTGTGGCATGGCTTGGTGAGTGTGGTAGGCGAAGGATACTGCAAAATGTCCATTCCCACCCCTCTCTGGGGCCAGCCAGAGGTGGTATTTGCTGGTTCTCTGAACTACTCAAAATTTCCGCTACCGGTTCTCCAGAACCTGTCCGAACCTGATGAATTTCACCCCTGCTTTAGGTACTAATAAAGGAGAATAT